GCCAACCACACAGTGCCTGACATTTAGTAGTAGCCTTAATAAATATTTAACAAACTGATCTTTGATCAGATCCCCCAACACACACACACACACACACACACACACCTGTTTCCTCTCAAGTTCTTATCTTTGTAATTCATCTAGGAGCATACAGTAAAAATCTAAGAGTCGTTGGCAAACAATGAGGGTATACCCCCTCATCTTCAGTTTGTAGTCAGTCACCAAGCCCTATCAATTCTGACCTAAAATATTTCAAATTCACTCACTTCTCTCCCTTTATATGGCCACCACCCTAGTCCAAGTCCCTAACACTTCTTGCCTAGATCACTTAATTGCTATTTTTCCTATCTTAATCTTCACTCTGCTCCTTCCATAATCCACTCATCAGAAAGTCAAAGTGATCCTTTGAAAACACAGATGTGATTATGTCACTTGTATAAAACCTATCAATAGCTTCTTCTCTGGGGATAAAGTTTAGAATCCTTAGTATGTTTACCAAGACCCTGGATGATCTGGAGCATCTGTACCTTTCCAGCCTTAACTTGTGCCCTTTGCTTCCTTATCATTCTGGCCTCATACTCTTCTTCCAACTTCCTAAGTTTTTTCCCTCTCAGAGTCTTTGGATACTCTTGACCATTTGCTGGAGGGCCCACTCCCTACACCTCTGATAGACAGCTTTGATCTGATTATATCCATTCATTTTTCAAATTCATGCTCAGGGCAGTTTTCCTTTACCTCCCAGTCTTGTTGAGGCTCTCCATTGAGTGGTCATATTATCCTCCATACTTTTCCTTTATAGAACTTATCACTACTGTGATTATTTTTGTGATTCTTTACCTAATGTTTATTTCTGACACTTACTATAATTTTCCTGGAGGCAGGGACCATGTTGATCTTATTTTCAGCTGTATCTTCAGCATCTATCATAAGGAACAGCACAGTGATAGTATTTACTGAATGAATGGACGAATGATGAGTGAATGAACAAAGAACTAGTTACTGAATTCTGAGCAAGAAGCTTGAGGAAAATTTCTCTATTTCCCCTCTAGGGGGAGGCCTACTCCTACTAGAAATAGCATGGGCCTCAAGAGAGCACAAAATTCTCAAATTAAGTTAGTAAGCTTCTTAAGTCCCTGAAATTGATTCAGAGAATCCAATCATTCCTTGCTAATAGAACTCTCCAGATCAGTCTAGACCACCCAGTGGTACCAGACAAGTGAGCATTTCCTCTGTTAATTTCCCTTCCTTGAACAATCTTGAAATCCCTCCTGCTAGAGTTTGTCTATTCCAGTTTGCTAGGTGATTTAGCTGTAACTGCCCACATTCTTGGAAAAATAGTATCTATGTATATGTAATTTAAATATTATCATTAACATTGTTATTTCTCTTTTTACTGCATCCCCCCCAAATCCTTCAGGCATTCTTTCTCTACAAAGTCTCAAAATGTTTTAAAATGATTCTAATTGTGGAAAATATTGGTAACCTATGAGGCAAAAAAATAATAAAATATTGATTAAAAGCTAATTTTCAAAAAGTAGCAATTCATAGATTTCCCTGAGCCTTGGGGAAAGTTAAAAGGAAAAATAAAAAGAATACAGTTTAAATATTGGGAGCATGTCTGCTTCTGAGCAGTTTCTGAAAGAAGTCCTTGCTTAATCCTGTTGACACATCTTGGGAGACTACCCCTGCTGCACACTAATACTGTTCTTTTCTCTGCTGAACTACTTTTTCTAGGACAAAGTTTAAGTGTAAAAAAAGTTTCACAAGGCTTGTATTTCTTTGAACTTTTTTTCTTTTCCTTTGCTCTATTTCCAAAGCTCCTTTTCAAATTTTCTTTTAAATGTAACTTCTGACTTCTTTTTCAAGGTCAAGGACCAGTACATAGAGGCATTCCACTATTCCTGTCTTTGGAATTTCAGTTCACTTTAGTTCTCTCTCTCGATAAGAGAATATGTTTCTCCATCACTGTCTGCCCTGCAGTGTGAGCACAGAGCCTGGAACAAAGTAGGTGCCAGTAAATGTTTGATAAATGTTAAGAATGAATAGATCTGAAACCTCCTTTGGTTGTGAAGTAGATTTTTCAGACACTATGAAATAATCCGTATAGATGGCCTATGCGAGTCTCATTGGGAGACTAATCATTCTATATTTATAAGATATTGGGAGTCTCCCAGAATTTATACACCCTAACATTTACCAATCAAGAACTTTTGAGGAAATAGACAACCCAGGGAAAAATTCATAGTTTTTCAAGGAAGAAATGGATAGACATGAGATAGCTCAAGTTTTTAGAAAATGTGTAGGATGTCAAATCAAAACTTCTCAGAAAAAAATTCCGCCCAAACTGTGGGAACTGTGGATATTATCTGAATAGTCTATTCAGAAACCCTAACGCTGTACAAAACAACAAAGAAAAAAATAGATTTAAAACATTTGGCAAACTGTTAATATGTTAACATATGGATGATGGATAGAAGGAGTTCATCGTACTATTCTCTCTAGTTTTTTCAGTATGCTTGAACATTTATGTAACACAAATAACATTTAAAAATTGAAGCTTGGAATCGGCACTGTCTTTACCCTGCTTTAGAAAGGGAGCACCAGAAGAAGCAAAAATGAAATGGGAACTATGTAGACTTTGGCATCTCATAATTAAGCCTTCACAGGTCCCATTAATATAGTAGTATTATGATAGCCATAAAGCTATTCTTATCTGATGAGAGAGTAAAAATTTTGGAAGCAGGAATTTTTGCTTAGGAATTAAATAGATTCAGAATTATAGAAATGTAGAAATATCATAAAAATAGAAAGATATTCAGAGATCATTTCAGCCAATGCTCTCACTTGACAAATGAGAAAACTGATGCCCAAAGAAATGGGATGAAGTAACTATCAATCTCAGAGCCAGGACTTCTATACTTCTGTACTCTGGTTTCTCTTTCCACCTGGGTGCCATCTGACATTGAACAAAAGCTGCCAAGGCAGGGAAACTCAGGTGCACTATTTTCATTTGCTGCATCCTTTGACCCTATCATTTCTGCTGTGTACATGTGGGGACCTCCTTCTTTTGTGCAGTGGATATTCCAAGACCGAGTGGTAGACTCAGAGCTAGACTTAATAAAATGAAGGCCAGAGAGGCAGTCACCAACCCCTCAATAGGTCAGTTGTCTGAGGCTTGTGCTCTACTTAGAGGAAGCTATGGGTGGTGCCAAGTAGAGCATCATCTTACTGGGTCTAGAGAGAGGGAGACCTAGCACACCTTGGCCCAGTGCATCATGCAGTGGACTTTATTACACATCTGCCTCTCACCTCATTAATTCCCCAGCCAAGTAGGATTCCAGGGAATTCCAGGGAGAATATACCATTGGGGTATTAACGTGAGTCACACAGTTCTAGACACAGGGGTGGGAGTTTGAGAGGTACTGACTGAAACAAGGTTAGGTCTGACAAGACACATAGTGGCTTGATTTATCTATGATCTTCCCTTCTGGTGGCCAGGAAGGACTTGGGTTCACAGGATGAACTTCCCCATTTTGGATCAGCACACAGCTATCTCTTGCCCTTGTGTTTGAAGGTTTAACATTCTCTAGAGCCCTAGAGAATAATATAGATTTCTGGTTTAGAAGCAATGGGCACAGAATCAAACTGTTTCCATTCACTGAATTTGATCAAATGCCTTAGGGTAGCTTGGGGGGAGGGGAGGAAGGGTCTAGCCTCCACATATCATTCGGATTCCTTCAACCTTTCCTAAGTAAATCTATGAATTAAAAGCAATGTAGTTAATACGTAGCTACAGCCTCAAGTCAACTCCCCAGACTCCATCCCAATCAGAGGGCTGTCCCTAAGCCCTTCTTCCATAGAGCTGCCAATGACCAAAGCAGCCTTTAATTCAGAGTGTGGAATTGGTGGCTTATAGACTGAATGTTGCCTGCTTTCAAAATGATTCTTTTTCTTTTTTTTAATGTTGCCAATATTTGCAACTGGGGAGGATTCACTTTTCTGAAAATCTGGATTTCAGCTTCTTTTGAAAAACTGGACAATCTCACCATAGCAGAGTGGCGGAGGTGGGGGACACATTCCTGCATGGCAAAAATCTTTTGAGTTTGGAACTCAGAGGCTCACTCTTCAGACAAGGCATGAGCTTTTCCAGTTCATCATCCCCTTGGGGATGTTCATGAACTGTCTGGGCCCTGCTTTCCTCTAAAACTCATTCGATTGTGTCGCTTAGAACGCGCTTTGGGGAGCTTGTGCCGGGGCGTTTTTTGTTAAACAGGCTGCCGGGTAGATCTCGGCACTGAAAGTCGTCCCGGGTGGGCTGCTTCACCCTTCACCTGCCCACTACGTGCTGCGGGCTTCGAATGTTTACGCTTTGCATGGAAAGTACATCACTGACAGGTGTCAGCCTCTCCCGGGTGGGAAGGGTTCTGTAAGCATGTACGTCTTTTTCAGTCTTCAACATTTGGGCTCCTACACCTCTTGGGTGGTTATCTTCGGTATAGTTCCCTTTGAGGGAGGGTGGACAGTATCCAGGAGGGTTCAGAAAAGCATATATGCGTTCCAATATTACGAATAATGATGGAAGTCTCTTTTATTTTCCCCAAACACTTCTTACTAACAGTTTCGTCTCCTACGCAACTGATCAAGTGTAGCGAGTTTAGAAATCTCGAAATGAGGTGCTCGGGCCCTACCTCAGTTAGAGACAGTGGGAGGCAGCGGAGGGCACGGAAGGACCCACTACAGGTCTGATCCGTACTGGCGCGGCCCCACAGGGTCGGCCCAAGAGCCGGGGCCGGTGAGCTTTCTGCCTACCGCGGCGGCCCCCAGTTGCCGGGCTGCGGCCGAGAGCGCACATTGCGCCTGCGCGCAAAGCCTCTGGCGGGCAAACGAAGTAATCTGTTAACTATACCTGGGTAGGACGGAGGCTGCCTCACGAGTCTGCGCAGGCGCACCCCGCCTGCAGCCATTGGCCGGTGCGCCGGCACCCATGCCAGTCACCCTTCACATCCTGTAAACAGAGGGGCCCGCTGGAGACAACAACTTCTGCTTCCGGGTCACACCTTGACAGCGGCTTTCACCACCCAGCTCAGCCCCGCGGTTTGGTGAGTGCGTACCTCGCTGCGGGAGTGCCTGCGGCCAGGTTCCTTAACCCGTGGCACTACGCCCAGTAGCTCTTTCTACATTCCCAGCTCGGGTTTCGTTAGTCCTCGAGGCAGAGACAGGGTTCCCGGCCTTGGGGGAATCAGGGCGGGGGTTGGTTAGCCTCCGGGGCTCCACCGGCGTAGATTGCGCGACCTGCTTTCACCCCCCGCTCTGGGAGACCTGCCGGCATTGCTGCGATCTTTGCGGATCCCTTGCGGAAAGTGACACCACACGTCCTCGCATTTCGTGCCCTTGCCCTTCGGCTCTTTGGCTCGGCAAGACGCAGCTGCCGCGAGCCGCCCCCACCCCTCGCCCCAGCAGGTGTGGTGGGGTTGGGGGCGCCTCTGGCTGGGCTGAGGGTCTGCCCTGCCTGGGCGGAAGCCAAGGCCTCACTAGCACCAAAGGTGTTGAATGTCGCCTCTCTCCCACTTTGCTTCTAGCATCGCAATAGAAAACCCTTTGGTGTTTTCTCTGGATCCGAAGTTAAAGAAAACCGGGGGAGAGAGGGCTTTCAGTTCCAGCAGAGGAAAGAGGCCACGTGGGGTCAAACGGCGCACGGGCTGCTGTCTGGAGATAGGTCAAGCTTATGTTTCCTTGACCCATCCCCACAGTGCATGTTGTCAGTATGCCCCCGAAGTTTCACTCTTCACCAGGAGCTTCGATGCAACAGCAGAGAACCATTGGTCATGTCCTGAGTTAGGAGTTCTTAGCCTGGAGTCCCAAGAGTGCCCTGAAAATGATTGCAGGGTTTAGTTTCTGCAGATTATCGTAGCCCAGAAACGGTTAACAGAACCAGAACCAGTTCAGTCTAAGCCTTCCACTTTAGATGTTGTCTTCTGCCCCCATTCTTGCAATCTCTGATTCAAATGCACCTCTGCTTTTTTCTCCTTTTCCCTTACAACAAAGAAGTATAAGATACAGACCCTTGTCCCTTCATTTAGTGGCTGTTGGATTAAAACATATGCCAAGTCTAAACTATCTGGAAAATTTCAGAGAGACATATAAACAAGTGTGTAAGCTTATTCATTCATAATAACGTAGGGGAGAAGAATGCCCAATATGCATCATTGATACCTATGAATTGAACATTGTTAACCTGCATTCTATTAATTAATACTGTATATAGTTTAAACAGATTAATGGCTACTGATTAGCAAAATAGAAACTATTCAAATTTATAGTATATTACATAATGCATAAGGGGATACTCCATTACGAAAAGCAAAAATTATGTAATGTGAAATGACCGAAATAATTTTAGGTTTTTTACCCTAGTAGTCCTCATATGCATAACATATTTAATTATGCAAGTTGTGAACTTTTTAGGATTTAAAGTAATAATCTTTACATTAATTCAACAAATATTTATTGAGAACCTGCCATGTGCCAGGAACTATTGAAAATAACACTGTATTTACTGCCAAGGAACTTACAGTTCAATAAGAACACATATTCCTAGAGAGCTGATACTGCATACTATATATTCTCTACAGTTTTTGATATATGCTTTTTCATGGAAATGCTCCACCTTGTTTGCTATAATTTTAAATGTTCCCCAACTAGTATATGGCTCTTATACAGCCAAAACTTTTATCAGTTAAATTTAAGTATATTGCATTATTTTCTTCCATGCTAGAACTCTCGGTCCAATGAACATCTATTTGCCCAAGTCCATTTCTCAGTTGTCATGAACGGCCAGTTATTAAAATCTTTAATTCATTTTGCACTCTTAAATCTCATTTTCCTACAACCACAAGCATATGTCATTGGTATGAACTTTGCAGTTTTTTCTAATTTTATATACATGACTAATGATACTTTTGAGATTTTTATTTTAAAATATGACCTCAGATATTTCCCATTTTTTTCTTTACTGAAGACATTTTAATCTGATGCCTCGTCATTGTTAACATAGATGTATTTCCTCCATAGCCTTTTCCCTCTCTTCACACAGGTATCGATCACTTGTATAGCCTTTAGTCAATCAACCAGTATTTATTAAATACCTACTTTTTGTGAGATTCTGTGGCTGGTCTTACATGAACAAAAACATAGAAGACAGGGACCTTGCCTTCTAATTGATTATAATTTAGAGGAGAAACTATGAATATAAATATACTGCAGGGCCAAATACAACAAGTAAGCTAAAGGTGATGGTGATAGTGAAGACCACAGAATCCAGAGGTGGGAAAGAATATTTCGTGGCATCTTCAGACTTCTAAAAAAATCCCCTTGCTTGCCTAGTCTTGTTTGTAAACTACACAGAGCTCCATGAGGGTCTTGGGCCTCTTGGGGAAATCTTGTTCCAGACTAGTTCAGAATGTAGAATTGAGGTGCCGAGGGTCAGAGCATTTTCATCTGGGTTTACCCAGCTCCCTAAGCAGCTATTACAATCTATGTATGATTCAGAAAAAATATTAATCATTGATCTCTTTGAAATCCACTTTTACTATTGGGAAGGCCTCAGAGAACTCCTAATCCTAGGGACAGGTGTGCTCAGTGATATTGTGTATGCCTAAAACTTCTTTGTTTCAGGCAGTTTGGAGCATGTGAACATACTCTGAGCCTTGATGAGTTCCAGTATGTGGTATATTATGCAGAGCATTCAGAGCAAATACTCCCTCTCAGAGCGCTTAATCCGAACAATCGCTGCCATTCGTTCCTTCCCACATGATAATGTAGAGGACCTCATCAGAGGGGTGAGTGTGCTGGATTGACGGAGAGTCCTGTGGGAGGTGAAGCGGGAAAGTTCCTGGGGAATCGTAATAGATGACAGATTTGTATCATTGACTCGGCACAAGATCACAAGGAGTTTTTACAGTCCTCTTACATGCATTAGCTTGACTATGAAAATACATTTTCCTTGTGTTTTGCTTCTCTTTCCTTCTCCCTTTCACTTTGTGCATCCGATATTTTCTTCAGGAAATGTGTTCTACCTAACCCTAGTCTCACATTCTTTGTAAAATCTCTGTCTGGATATGGTACATATGGGATCCAGCAAGCTCAAAGTCTTCTACACATGTTTTACTAAGGGAGGAAGGAGATGAGCAAAGCAGAAGTGGTTTTCAAATCCTTGTGGTTTATAATAATTACATGGAGAGATATCACTTGCCGTCTATCTTGACAACAGCCCCTAAAGTGCATGGTAATTTTTGACTTAAGAAAACATCTTAACACGTCTAACCACTGCTATTCAGCAATTGTTATATGACTAGTGTCCTAGATGGTCTTTGGTCTTTGCTATCTTTTTCTAAATGTTACTCCTGTTGAAGAGAAGTTACAGGGTAATTTTTTGATCCCTAGAAAATGCATCCAGATGCTTACTTTTGTACGTTCTTTTCAACAACTGTGGAATCCTTATTTACTGCCTGGAGCTCTATAGCTGCTTCGAAGTTGGGTGCAGCTTTGAGAAGAAATAGTCCTACAGCGTTAGCTTGTTCTCAGCAAAAGCGGTACCAGAGGATTCAGCAGTAGGAAGTTTGTCACGTTCTAATTCTAGCTCTGCTGCTGAGTCATTCAGCAACTTTGGTCTGCCTGTAGGATCCCCATCTCCTTTCATCAGATTTGAAACAGAAGTACCAGCAGGGTCTAGGTAGCAGAGAATGCCGATGCTAAGAGGCTACTTTGAAGATGTTTATAAACAAAAAGATAACATTAAGATGACCTTACTATTAATGATGGTCATCTGTTGAATGCCAGAAAGAGCATGCCAGTTCTCCTGGTTTCAGTCTGACAGACTCACTTTCCTGACTTTTTCAGAGCCTGGTGGCCGTAGAAGGTGGATTGCTTTTCCAGCTTTCCTGCCTGATGCTAAGTTTCCCACTGCTTTTACACATGAGGTCATGTCCTCAGTGATGTCCAGATGACCATCTGGCAAGTTACCTTGTGGAAAAACATAATAATTCAGTCTAAGGAATCGATAGTTCCTTTCCTTCATCTTCAGTGTATTCTCTTGGTTTGGATATTATTTAACAAACAGGACTGGAAACCGGGACCAGTCATATGTTTAGAGTGCGGTCAGAGCTAGAGCCCTCCTCCCCGCCGGACTCCATTCTGACTCTCATCCTGCGCAGTGAGCCAGAGCCGAGCACGCTGACCGGAGTTTCCTTCCGCCCGCAGGGAGCAGATGTGAACTGTACCCATGGCACCCTGAAGCCCCTGCACTGTGCGTGCATGGTGTCAGATGCTGACTGTGTAGAGTTACTCCTGGAAAAGGGAGCGCAGGTAAAACTTTTTAACACTGTCACGTGACGGACCCACTGAAGCTTGAGCTTCGCATTTCCTTAACATTTCTGTCTTTTCTCCCATCTCTTCCCACCTTCTAGCCCGTGGTAACATTGGCATGGCCAATATTAAAGCAAAATGTAATGGTAAATACATACAGTGATCCAAAGGATTTCATTCCTTTGCCTTTCTTTCTTAAGTTGTCCGTGGCTCCAGGAAGAGGGAGTTTTATTTCCCCTTTCTCTCCCAGCCTTCCTCCTGGGCTTGTTTACCTTTCCATTCAGCCCTCTCATTGCCCATTGACTGTGCAGGTGCTCTAAGTACAGAGGCCCCTCGAGTGATGAAATGGAAACCATTGACAACCCGCTACCGGACATGCACTTCTAATACCACCGTTACTGGGAGATAGATCTCATTAGGTAATCCATTCCTCAGAAGTAGCTACTGGGGCTATTTCTGCCCACTCATTATTATCCATTTATCGTGTCTTGTTCCTATCTTCTTTTTAATGTATCTTAAGAAACATAGATTAATTTATATTGGCATTAGCAGGAAGCAGCATAGTGTAGTGAATGATTAAAAGAGTGGACTCTGGAGCCCGACTTTATGGATTTGAATCCCAGCTCTGTCACTTCCAGCTCTTGTGACTTTGAACAAGTTACTTAATTTTTCTTTGCCTCAGTTTCCCTACCTATAGAATGGAGATGATAATGGTATCTTCTTCATAAGGTTGTCAAGTATTTAGTTTTACACTGGCATGTAGTAATTGCTAAGTCATTGCTTGTTAAATAAATAAATAAGCAGTTTTGACTCTTTGTAAGCAATCTGGAAGTTGCAGATGCTGAGGCGCTAATTGGAATCAGACATGCCGTGAAGCTGGTGTGCAGGCCCCAAACACATTGGTCAGTAAGCCCAAGGTGCCAGCCCCCAGCACCATCGTCTCCACACGGCCATGCTGTTCACGGCCATGCTGTCCTCTACTTGTCATTATCTTTTCCATCACTCTTGGGAGGGACCCTGAAATGAAAGCCAGTGATTAATATCAATGACGAAAATACCCTGGGGGAAAAAGTCTTTAGCTAAATAGAAAGTTGAACTCAGTTAAATATTCCAGCGTATTTTTATGGCATTTTGAGGGGAAGATAATATGCTAGATATAATTTGGGTTTTGAAGTCTTTGCAGCCTTCAGAAATGATAAGTAATGTTGATTTTCAGTAAGTCAGCTGCTTTTCCAGCATTGGAAGATCTGTGATCTTCCCTTTACATGGCTTTTATCAAGGTCCTCTTGTGACTGCACGGCGTCTATTTGCAAGGGCGCTGATTGGAGTCAGAATTTGAGCCTCTCTGTACGGCTAAAGAACACAGCAAAACTACATGGGCAGAGTTTGGCCTCATTTTTCAGTCTGGTTGCCATTAGCCACAGGACAGAGTGAGTTGGGATAAGTAAAATAATCCAGAACCTTTACTCTGGCTAATATATTCAAGCTAACTTTCCAATAAATATCTTCCAGAGTAGTTAACGAGGATTTAGACTTCATCTTCTCTTTTTTTACCCCTTCCCCCATGGTAGAGATCCTAGTGAATCATAAACAAGAACATAGCAAAAACCCAAATAAAGCAGGCCAACTAATCAATGCACAGAATAGAGTGCCGATCGTATTGAGGCCGTTCTCTTCCTATTTGCCCCTAAGCTCCTGTCATACCTCCTCTTGATCACCAAGACTCGCTGGGAATTGTTTGTTGACTCTTATATTCAGAACATGACATAGCAAAGGTCTTGGATAAACACACGCAAGCTGCTTTTGCCCACCCATCTTCCTCTCGGTAGTCTAGCTACGGTAATATAGTTCCTCCGTCTTTACAGGTGAATGCCCTGGATGGTTACAACCGAACAGCCCTCCACTATGCAGCTGAGAAAGATGAGGCTTGTGTGGAGGTCCTCTTGGAGTATGGTGCAAACCCCAATGCACTGGATGGCAACCGAGACACCCCACTTCACTGGGCAGCCTTTAAGAACAATGCCGAGTGTGTGCGGGCCCTCCTAGAGAGTGGGGCCTCTGTCAACGCCCTGGATTATAACAATGATACCCCGCTCAGCTGGGCCGCCATGAAGGGAAACCTTGAGAGCGTCAGCATCCTTCTTGATTATGGTGCAGAGGTCAGAGTCATCAACCTAAAAGGCCAGACGCCCATCTCCCGCCTGGTAGCTCTGCTAGTCAGGGGACTTGGAACAGAGAAAGAAGACTCTTGCTTTGAGCTCCTGCACAGAGCTGTTGGACACTTTGAATTAAGGAAGAATGGCACCATGCCACGAGAAGTGGCCAGAGACCAGCAGCTATGTGAAAAACTGACTGTCCTGTGCTCAGCCCCAGGAACTCTAAAAACACTCTCTCGCTATGCTGTGCGTCGGAGTTTGGGACTCCAGTACCTCCCAGATGCGGTGAAGGGCCTTCCACTGCCAGCTTCCCTGAAGGAATACCTGTTACTTGTGGAATAGGCTGCAGGAGCCGTTTGCACCCTCACACAGGCAACCCCGGGGGGAGGTTTTTCCCTGCAGTCCTCTCTTTGTCTTGGAAAACAGGAAAAGCAGTTGTTCCTGTTGCGTGGTTTGTATTTAGAGACAACGTGTCCCAACGGTAACCTCCACACCATCTCCCCTCCCCAAACCAAGCAACCAAACAAAAAAAAAATCCCTCACTTTTGTTTTCTGTTTCTTGCTTACTTGGCTTTTTATATTGCACCCTGCAAAAGAAGAGGTCTCCCCCTACCCTCCCCTTTAGGGAAAAAGTCAACAATGCAACAAAATTCTCTAGGAAAATGAAGAGTATTTAAAGAGTGTGTGTTTAGTTTTCCTTTGAGAACGTGATTAACATTTCAGAAGAATCCCTCTAGAAGCATTGTAACTGGTCAGTGAAGAAGTTTAAGAAAATTCCAGCTAACAGATGTGGCCCAAAGATGAAGATACTACAACCTCCAATGGTGTGCAGATGCACAGTTGGGCTGGATGATACGGATGATGCCCTAGCGTGCCCCATCACGGAGTGTGCAGAAGGGACTGGCCCCCTCTCACCATCAGAGCAAACAGCAGCCTTTGCCTCTTTTCCATGGGTGTGCCTGAGGGTTACAGTAGTTCAGCAATGCTGTTTCAGAAATAACATTGTCTTGCTGCTTTCCACGTAGTAGAAGAGAGAGCAGGTTCTGAGCAGTCCTAAGAACTCAGATGTCCTAAGAACTTTTCTCCTAATGCAGGTCTTTCTCCTTGTGAAAGCCAGTTTGCTCCAACGGGCTTAGCAGGTGTTTGTACACCTTAGGTGAAGGTGTTTACTCCAGCAGGGGACGAGATGGGCTGGGCTGCCTTTTCCCACGGGTCTTCATTTCCCCATAGGCAGCTCACTCTGCTGAGAGTTGGGAGTTATTTTCCTTTCAGTTGTTTTGGAAACTTTGCTTTTTACTGATCTATACAAGACACTGGGGAGTGCAGGGTGCGGGGGAAGAGCATTATAAGAGCTTCTTTTGAGATGGCCCACCTACTCAAAAAAGAACTGCTTTAGTGAACCATACTTAGTCAACAATACTCTTTCTTTTCATGTTCCTAAACTAGAGCAAGTTGTTATTGATCTCGGATGACCCAGATGCAAATTTGAAAACTTTTTTTTTTTTTTAACCGATTGGGAACCACAAATAAAAATGACTGGACTGCTGACACAGCTGATTTCAAAAACAGTGTCTGCTTTTGCCCTTTTGCTGTTGGTGGGTTTTTTTTGCTCACTTGAAAAAAAAGAAATAAACACTTCTAAAAGCGAGTTTGGCAATTTCTACTGTTCCTACTTTTCTCCACATCATCATTAAATCCCTGGGAGCCCTATTGGCCATAACTCTGAAATGGGGCTGTCACTACCCTCCTACTAAGCTGGTTTGAGGATGCAGTGCTAACAGTGCTTGCTATTTACTGTTAAGTTCTCTTCCCCGTAAAGAACTGCACAGAGAGCATTTGGCTGCTTTAATTCTGGACTCCGACAAGCCTTCTCAGTTACTGTTTAGAACTGTCTTCAGGGTGTAGAGGTAATACTTTGGATAGCAAGCAAAAGTGATGTATTACAGCTGATCCGTCCTCCACCACTGGTAAAACCTTGAACCTCTTCCTGCTTCATCAAGCAAGTGAGGAGACTGGGTCGGGAGGAATATGTGTGCTTGTGCCGAGAGCCACAAGCGGGCACCGTCCTGTCAATTTGGAGGCTCCCGAAGACCAACTGCATGACATGGTCACTTGGCTGATGCGGAGGAAGCAGCTATTGTTACGGCACAGAACACAAACGGAGCTGAATGAGAACTGACAACTTTCTAAAGCCCTATTTCAGCCAATCCACCAAACCAGGTCCCGGGCTGGGGGGGGTCTCTTTCCCAGGCTTTCAAAATGTGCATGTCTCCCCACAAACGGAGTCTGCCTTTCATCTAGGAAGGAGTACAGGGGAAGAGTTGAGAAGGAAGAACCCTGAGTTGTCAGAAGAGGAGTACAGATCGTGGGATGGCTGGAAAAAAGCACCCCTGGGAAATAGGTAGATGATCAAAAGGTGAAACACAACTTCCTGCTTAAGAGAGGCTGACGCATCCTGTGGCTGCAGAGGATGCAGGAGGGACCGGTGTGGTATGAGGGTAAGGACCAGCGTACGATGTCCTAGGACCTTACGTACAGAGCCAAGAGATGCTGCGGGAAATAAGCCAGGAGGTGGAGAGAAGTACGTGGGGTGATCATATGGGCTGCATCTTCCCAAGTGTCTGAGCAGAGTCTGGTCCTTAGGGCTGACAGTATGACAGCTACTTGTGCAAGTGACAACAGGAGAACCAAAAGCAGTGACCAGTTGGCATTTATTAGTGTAGCTATTGTTTGTCACTGCAGTAAAAGTAGTAGAGGAACCAAGACTTTGTTATCACAAAGAAATAAATACAGCTTATTTTTAGGAAAATTCTAACCGAGTAGCTGAAATCTAGCAGTAGCCCTAGAGGAGCCCAGTCTTCTTGTGTGACAGATGAAGCTGGGGTAGAAGTCATGATAAATTCTACCTAAAGGTGGCTTCTACTATTGCCCCAGCTCCCTGGCAGAGCTGGTCATGGCTACAGCTGCAGAATAAAAGGAAACCTAAAGAAAAATGCACTAAAACACTTGGGAATACATGGACTTGGATCTATCAGGGGGTGAGCTGACCATGATCAGACAATCCATGACCCTCACTCCAAAGAGGGTTAGATAGAAGTTTCTCCAGATCGCTTCCGACTGATGTGCTCCAGGTGGGCGTGCTCTGAGGTGTCCAAGTCAATCTCGTACTTGGCTAAGATTTTGAGGATGGGCCTCAGCTTCAGCCACCACTGTTCCTTGGGGATGCGGTGCCTACAGAGAAATGAGAGAGATGATGATTTCCCCTTTTAGCACCCCAGCTGACTTCTATCAAAAGCTGATGGAAAGAAGTTGAGTAGAAGAGGCTGGATTTTAGGGCAAGGGCTAAGATCTGAAATAGTTTCGACTACAGGCATTAGTCCTAAGATAAAAGGATTGAAGACAGCGAACAGGTTGGGAAGAGATCCTGAAACTACCAGGGAAGTAGATGTACTCACTCAAAATCCGTCTGGTCCTTCAGCTCAGTCACTGGTTGAAAGACCAGAGCCCTCTTACGCATCCCCAGAACACAGCCCGAGTCTGGCGTATTGGCAAAGATCCTCCCTGCAATAAAGGTCAGTAAGCTTCAATAATGGGGATCCAACCTCTATGGAGGGGGCTTGCCCTCTTACCCCACCTACCATTACGGTAACTCTCTTTGATTTTCCCGAACATCCAGTTCATAGCCTTGGCGCCCATCTTAGTGGCAAAATTCCTGTCAAATGGAGTTGGGCTCCCCCCCTGAAAAAAGAGTCTTAAAGTTACAGAGGGAAAGACTCTAATGAAGTGGCAGAGATATCTGAACATACAGAGAAAAAGGAAAGAAAAGGCCCAGGTTTACAGCCAGAAACAGAAATCCTAACTCTGAAAGGAAATCCTGACAGTGCTGCGAACCAGGGTGAGTTGGCGCGGCAGATTTGGCCACTTACTAGGTGTAAGAGTAACTAATCAGGTAAGGGGGTAACTGGTCTCACAACTGCCTCTTCTAGCTCCACAGCTGCCAGACCCTGTCGTTTACTTCTAGTCTGGCTGGCCACTCAGTCACTTCCTGCCCCTCTTCAGCCTAGCAGCTTTTGTCAGGCGCCACCGTCAGGGACACCGAAGGGTTCCTTGCGAACCAATATGGATGGCCTTGGCAGCACCTCAGAATAATATGAATCATGTAGATTTTCTCTGAACTAAGAGAAAGTAGGTGGGAAGTGGGGAAGAGATCGTCATATTTTAACCAATTGTACCCCATTCCTGCAGGGACTAATAAGCTCCTTCAAGCTTGAGATATTGGGAATTCATACGTGGGTAGACAAAGGTCAAAGGTCCATACTTAAGCAGGATCAGCTGGAGACACTGGGAACGGGGAGGCCTAAGACCACTAGGCCTAAGATCATCTGTGAGCGAGGCCCACCGGAGGTGGGGATTGAGTGTGGGTGGTAGAAAGGAATTCGTTTCGCCCAGAGACCCCAGTTCACGGGGCTGGAGCCCAATACCCGCAAGGTGCCTGTACTCATTGCCTAGGTTCCTTAGGGAAGGCGGTATGGTGCGGTGGGAAGAGCCCTGGCTCTCGCCCGGGCTTGATGAGTGGCCCTGAAAAAATCATGTCTCCTCTCTGGGCCTCGTTTCCTTCATCTGGACTAGTGGTTCTCAGCTGGAGATGATTTTGCCTCCCCGGGGACGTTTGGCAATGTCTGAAGACATTTTTTTAGTTGTTACAACTCAGGAGGGAGGTGCTACTGGCCTCTCGTGGGTAGAGTCCGGGGATGTTGCTAAAGCATCCCAGCGTGCACAGGACAGCCACCTGCAACAGACTTATCCAGCCCCAAAGAGCAACGGTGCCAAGGCTGAGAAGCCCTGCCCTACATGAAGAGCATGGACCACATAATCTCTAAGGCCATTTCCAGAGTAAAGGTGTTTAGACCCTATGACAGTACAAGATTGCAGGCTCATGCTCTAGCAGACTGGAGGCCAGCAGAAGAGCCAGTGGCTACTGGGGGTATGGCCATCTGGTGACGGGCGCGGCGGGGGCGTCTTCCCTACCTGCTGCATGTGGCCAAGCACATTCTTCCTGCTGTCAAAGATGCCCTTCCCCTCCTCAGAGTACAGGTTGAAAATGAAGTCAGTGGTATAGTTCTCATTGCACTTCTCATTCCTGCCACGTAGAGACCAAAAGCCTGTGACTTTGGTTGTCCCCCCCACCCTTCCCTCCCAACCCTTTTCTGCTTTTGTAAGCTTTGTTCTTCCCTTTTCTATCTCCTCCCTCCCATGGCTCAGGTTCTCTCCCTTTGTATCCAGATTCCTTAGGGTGTCCCAAACGGATCCATTCTGTGGGCTACAGCCAGAGCCTAATTTTTCTCTTCACTTAGGAACAAGCCGTGGATGAGGTACCTTAACACCAAGCCCCTCTTCACAGTCGTTTTCATCTTTTGCACCAGATGTTCCACATTTGCCTGAAAACATGAGAGCAAATCCTAAGCCCAGCTGGGGGTGGATAAGGCTGGGCAGGTGCACAGCTCTCTTGTTCCCCACCAGGCCTCTCCTGGGGAGAGGGACATGGAAGAGAGTCGTTTACAATCCTGTGTCTCATCCCTGTAAGAAGTTCAGGGCAGACTGAAATTTAAACAAAGACTGCAAACGAGACAGGCAGAACTGGAAGAGGGCACGTCAGAGACAGCTGTGGCAACTGCCAGGTTTCGCCTTTCCCCCGCTCCCAATGTCCCTTTCCAGGGTTTTCTGGTTCCCTCCTCAGAGGGCTGACTCTTGCTCTCAGCGTCGGTCTTTAAATGGTTTGCTTGTGTGCGCAGCAGTGATTCACCTGGGAGGAACCGGTTCCTTCCTCTGGGCTTGGAGTTGGGGGTAAAGGAGGAAGACTCCCACCTCCATTCCTGGCAGGGGCTGGCTGGGTTCTTGGATTGGGGAGGTCCCTCCGCCTGCTGCCCCTCCACTTTGTGGCCTTTCTTTCCTCCAGTGAACTGAGATCTTGGAAAGTTAGGATCATACGGTCCCTCTGGAACAGGAGTCCGAGCCTCTCCCCCCCCGTGACAGGGAATGGAACGAGAAGAGTCTGGTAACAAGGGAAGTCCGGAGGGGTGGCGTGATGCCACAGAAAGACGGACTTTCTCTGTTAGTTAAACCACCTACTCACTCACAAGTCTAGAAAAGGCTTTTAACCTCTCTAAATCTTTCTCGTCTGTAACATGGAGATAATCTCTCCCTTGCACGTCGGTTTTGAAGACAAAATGCAGAAACACTCGGGCAAGGGCTTAGCACTACGCCATCCTTCAAAGCGGATGCCCCCGAGAGCCAGTGCTGGGGGCGCGTGCGTGAGGTTACCCGGAGGTGCTCCTCGGGGCCCCCACACCCAGCAGCTGTCCTCGTCTTGAGCTCTCCCAGCTCAGGTTGCCGGGGGCGGGGGGGGCGGGGGCGGGGGGACAGACGGGGGCAGGGCAGAGCTACGGCACAGGCCCGGGGTGGCCGTCTACCTGCAGGTCCCGAATGGTGAAGGGCTCCTCAAAAATGTAGGCGGCGTCAGCCCCGGCTGCCAGGCCCGCCATGGTGGCCAGGTAGCCGCAGTAGCCGCCCATGGTCTCGATGATGAACACCCGCCGCTTGGTGCCCGCGGCTGACTGCTTGATGCGGTCACAGGTCTGCAGGGACAGT